GTTCCCCTCATGCAACAAGCTCAGGCCTACCCAGCAACAATCACGGAGGTGTCATCTTTGCGAGTCTACTCCTGATGGCAGAAGTCTCATTATTTTCCCGCTGTCTCTCATAAATAGAAGAAAACAAACTCCCAGGCAGTCCTTCTGGGGAGATGAAACCTTTGAAGTCGTCAACACCACAGGCAGTAGATACCCTTGCACTGAATGAACAACTTATTTTTCCCTGCTAGTGGACACAGCAGGTTGGGAAAAGAGAGAACCATTTCCCATGAGTTTTCAGGTTTGTATATAACTTTCTAGGGACATTTGAAAAACCTACGTATTAAAATCTTTGAGGAAAAAAACCAACTCACTTCATGGTGTCTTGAAAATCAGATCTCCTGTTTAGGGAAAAGCGTCTTTATGCTCCCCGGGGAGCAAAAAGGAACTGAGCGAAACAGGCAGAGGTGGACGTCCTCCTGGAGAGGGACTGGGCCATTGGATCAGGCTGGGTGTTCATTGTGTCCAGTATCCCCTTGCTGCAGGAGCCTGGACAGGTAGCAGGGACCTGGAGGTGACAGATGCATGAACCGAGCATCCAAGAGGCACAACCCCTCCATGCATGCCACCCCGGGGCAGCTCATGGCATTGGTGTGTGGCAGACCCCACCTCGCTCTCTGCTGTTTATGCGTGCCAGAGATATTGTAGCTACACCCACGTGTGAGAAATGTCACCACAGGATGAGCAGAGTCTAGACAACTGGTGGAAGAGCTGCCTTTGTGGAATGGTAAAGCAGATCCGCAAGTTTATTTCCCCCTTTGCTGTGGGAGAAAATTAAGCTGGAGGGGAGTGCAAAGCCCCTGCAGGTAAGGGGGATGACGTCTGAGACTGACTCAACAAAAAATAATGAATCAAGATTCCCAGCGGCGCGGCTTGTGAGGAGCCAATGGTCCTACTCAGGCGGAGGGAGCAGAGAGGCAGCCCAGAGCCCTGGGGGACATAACAACTTCATGGGCCTTCACGGCAGGGAGGGTGTTTCTTCTGCAGGGCCAGGCTGGCCTTAAACCAGCATTTCCCATCGAAAGGGCTCCGAAGGACTCACCGACCTGATACCCGTTGAACTTGAGACGGCTTTGTCTGTCTGCCCTGCACAGACCCCTTTGGAGATCCCACTGGAGGCAAGGCGCACACCCTGTTCCCTTTGCTGCCTCACTTCCCTGCTGTTTTCCCCGGCGGCTCAGGTGGAAGGGGGAGATGGGGGTGGCAAGCTTTGGGGTGCAGGAAAAGCAAGCCAATTCATCTCGGACACAGACTGCAGCAGCAAAATGACTTCCAGATGGGAGGTGTTACACTGATACAGGCAGAAGGCAGGACAGGAGAAAACTAATTGCCAGCAACAGAGGATGAGCTGGGAAGAGGAGGAAGACAACGGCATTTCTTTGGGCACAACCTCCTCTTCAGTTTGCATTGCTCCTTCTACTAAAAGGAGGACCAGAGCATGAAGCCTCGAGCCAGAATAAAATTTCCCAAAAGGAGGGGATGAGTTTAATTTTTTTTTCCTTTAGCTCTGTTTGTGCAGCCATAGGACCAGGGATTAGGGCCAGGCTTGCTGCATGTTCACAGCTGGCTCCCACTGGCCGGACCTCTGCCCAAATTCATGCATCCCCCCAGCACAGGGACCCAGCTCCCCTATCCCACTGCCTGCCCTGGGATTAGGGCACAACCCAGAGAGCCAGAGCCGGGGTTGCCCTTTTTCCTGTCCTGTCCTGCTTTCACCTCCAGGTCACAAAGTCCCCAGGAGGTGACACAAACCTGGCCTTGCACCAGGCTCCAAACCTTCTCCGGGGTGGCCAGCCCAGCCAGCTCGGCTCTGGCCACACCGTGGCAGCATTCATTCGCATTGTACGCCACACTAGATGCTCTGCTGGGACCCGCAAAACCAAGACCTGCATCTCAAATTCTCCCAGTGCCTGGAGGTCTTTTGCTCCTGGATTTTGGCCTGGAGCTGCTTCAAGCATTCAGGGAGCCACAGTTGCAGAAGGTGGTCACAGCACATGGAGATGTGGGCAGCCAGGCAGCAGGAAAGGGCAGGAGGTCCTGGCTGAAGGTGGGGATAACTGCCCAGCCTGGGGCCAGAGGAGCCAGCGCAGCTTGTACTATAGGCTGTGAGAGCAGCAAACCTCCTGCAGCTCTTTTTGTTCCGACTTTGGCTTGGGGCAGCTAATCTTAGCCCTCTGAAAGCAAAACTTGCCATTGCAGCTCCTAGACAAACCCTCAGCTGTCGCCAGTGCGGGTGCAGTGCAGCAGAGAGGAGGCAGGAGGAAAGGACCAGCATCTACCAGCTCAAAACATCAGCCCCGTGTCCCTGCCTCCAGCAAGAGCTGCAGCCATGTCCTGCTGTCCTCATCCTGGCAGTGAGGGAGGACAAACCTTCTTCAGGGTGGGAGGGAGGAGGAAGGACACACAAGGTCACACATGCTTTACCTTGCAGACAGCTTTTCTCCGTTAAAGGGACTGATACCTTTCTGTGATAGTGTTAACAGCTTGCTTTTGGGGCCAGATTTTTGCAGTAGGGCTGAGGTGCGAGTATGTCAGAGCCCAGAGTCACGCAGCATCTTTGCAGCAATCTCACCTCCCTTCTCACATGAGCGGTCCCGGCAGAGACAGCTCGTGCCGCTGGCAGGTGGCATGGAGCCTACAGAGGGGGCTGGCTTGCCATCAAGATGCCACATGTATTTCTTTTGGCAAGCAGGTCGCTCCGTGCTGGCACTTTTTGCTGGCTGGAGATGTGGAATTGGCTGGGGTCTGCTGTCCTAGAACTGCTCATGAGGCTGCGCTAAGGTGGAGCTGATGCTCTCTGGGCTTTCAAGAGTCCTTGGTCAGCATATCCTCACCAAGGACCAGGACCCTCTGTAACCTTCCAAGTGCTGCCTTCCAAATAGGCCTTGTTACCAGGAGGTGCCTCTCGCAGCTGGGGTTGGAGCTGCTTCTCTCCCATCCTTGTGGCTTTCCAGTCTCACCTGGGAGAGGGTTCAAACGTTCACAGCACGCAAAGCTCTGGGATGCAGGCAGTCCCTGAATCTCTCCCACCGGCCTCGTGGCTGCAGATCGCATATCTCCTGTAGAGCCTGTCGGAGGACAGCCTGGCCAAGCAGCGGTCATTGCCATGAGTTTTTCCCTAGCATATACATCAGCCTGTGCGTTTGGTGCTTGCTCCTCTGCAGGAGGACTTTCATGCCAGCGAAAGTGGGGACTGAGCAAAAGGAGAGAGGCTCATGGGGAATGGGAAGCAGAGAGGGAGGCAAATGTAGTGCAGAGTCCATTTAGGAGAAACCACGACACGTGAATCAGAGACATCCTATCCTTTGGATCAAACCAGATACATCTGTACCCAGGCTGCTTGGGGGATGAACAAAGTTCAGAGGCACGAGGGCATTGCATGTCATCTGCCCCCAGCCTCACGCATGTGTCCAGGTCTGGACAAGTCCAAAGGAAAGCCAAGAAAATGCAAGGATTCAGCCAAGCCTGGGGCTGGGGAAAGGGAGAGCCTGGGAGAGACAGCCCCCAGCTCCGGTCAAGCAACAAGACCTAACCATTGCCCAGCCCCTGCCACCTCTGCTCTCCCCCAAAACACCAAAACGGCGGATGATCACGAAGGTGGTGATTTCATGCAGCTGCAAAATGCCCTCATGAGAAGAGGGAGAAATGTGAAGTTCTGTAAAGAGCCACTGCAGATTATAAAGCCATTGTACTTCAGTGGGGAAATCCAGGGAAAGGGGGTGAAAAGAAACGGCCACAGGACAAGAGCAAGAGAAAGAGGAAGAAAAGGAAATAAAAATCATCATCATCATCATCATCATCAGGACACAACAACAGGACGAGAGACAGAGCGCTTTCCATGGGCAGTTCCCCGCGGAAAAGGAGCCACCGTGTCCGTGAAATACAAAACCCAGTGCCCTCCAGCTGGAGGGGGCAGCAGGCGCTGGGACTGGTTTGGCATCCCCTTGGGGTGAAGGGTCCAGTTAGGAGCAGAAAACCCTGTAAGGGAAAGGGGAGAAAGGCTGGCCTTAGAAGGAGTGGTGAGGAGCATCTAGGACTGAGGATTTCCCAAGGGATCATGCTGTAGATGGGAATTTACAGAGCCCTTTGCAGCTGGGTGAGGTGGGCAGGTAGGTAACCCTCATCCCTACCTAGAGGTGGGAAACTGAGGCACTCCGTGTACAGTGCAGACCCCAGAGTATGTGCTGGTTTGGAGAAAAATTCTTCCCAAACCTCAAGAATGTTGGGAAACACACTCCGGGTCAGCTGGGCACTACATGGCACAGCCAGGAGTGCAGGGAAGGGATTGCACCCCAGGCTGCTGAGGGCCAGGTCAAGGAGCAAGATCCACGCAGCTGCTCATCCTTTATCCTAAATAATCCTTCTGCTCAGCTAGGGAAAATCCCATGGAGACAGAGCTGAGCAAATGGCAGGACATGGTGGAGCAAAACCAAACACGGCAAATGTCAAGCTTTCTTACTTCTTACAGTTGTTTTCACAACAGTGGAAAGAAAAATCTCCAGATTTTTCCTAACTGGGTACGCAGGCACCTGGAGACCTCCCCACACTGTGAGTACCAGCCGCCTGCACCCCTGGAGCCAGCCAGGCCCCCCGCAGCCGGCACTGGAGCTGGGGACCCTGCAAACCTTCCAGCCCATCACCCACCGTCCCGTGGCAGGGCAGCAGAGGCTGGCAGCAGGCAGGACTTCTGCTTCGCATCGCCATTTGGATGGGATTGTCAGGTCCGAGCGCGTTGGTGCGACGGGTGCAATAACCCGGGGGAGATTTGTCCTAGCGAGGTGACAGCTATTTCAGAGAGGCTGCCAGGCAGCAGCCTCTGCTTCCAGTGCAAAAATCAAACATCTTTTCTCAGCCTCTGCTGTAAGAAGGGCCACGCGTGTGCAAAAGTTAAAGCTCCCTTCCCCATCCCACAGCCCATGCGCCTGGGAGACCGTTGCAGGGGTTAAAACAAACATGTCAACTCACTCATCCGTATCTTTTTTGCTCTCCTCAATGAATGCAATAGACTCAGATCTAAGGCGGTTAGTCACTTCGTACGTACGCAGGGTGACTCCAAAAATATCCTCGTGGTACCGGCTGTCATCCTGAAACAGAGGATGGGAGAGGGGCAGCGGGGGAAAAAAAAGTGTTTAGCAGTGGTTGGTATTGCACTAGAAAGCTTTCGTGTTGTGGGTAGGTACCAAACACATGGCAAGTGTTCTGGGACCTGTCCCAAGTGCTGGTGGGACAGGCAGGACAGAGGGACGGGCACAAGCAGGGAGGCGAAATGACCTTCCCAAGGTCACACTGTGGGGCGGCGGGGGGACTGCTCAATGCATTAGATGTCCTCAGCTGCTGGCAATCCAGGGACTGCCTGGCCCTCCTCTGGGGGACAAGTAGCCTGGGGCCAGCCCACGTACAAGAGCTTTTGCTTGCAAACCAGCTAAAAACGTGGTTCTGGGCTGCCTCAGGTTCTGGAGGGAGTGGGGGGACACGGTTCAGAAGGGGTAGTCCCACAGGAATGGGGCTGAGTTATCCTTCTGGGCAGAAGCAGAGCCCTTCAAGCACCTGTTCTCGGGCCTGTCCCCCAAACTGAGCTCACTTCTGCTTCAGTCGCAACATCTGCAGCAACGTGTTTGCCCAGGGTGCAGCCAGGCAGCCACACGGGCAGAGGGAGGGGGACCCACAAGCTGCCCTGTTGGCTTGCTGCAGTGATGGAGGGGCAGCAGGGACTTAACCAGGTGAGTAAGCCATGTCTGGGCTACCAAGGGTTCCCCAAAAGCGCTTGTACCAGCGCTCAGCGCAGCACCAGGCTCATCGCAGGAGCCCAGCGTGGGCTGAGGGGGCTGCAGCCTGGAGCAGAGCCCCCCCAAAGCTTTCACTGCGCACCCAAAGCTTTGTGAGATCACCCTCCCGACCTTGCCCAGGTGCAGGCAGCGTGGGTGGGAGCCGCACTCCGCCCCCAGCGCCCGTCGCCTCGGCACTGCCCGTTTCGTTCCACGGGAGGAAGGCACCAGGTGCAGCGCCCGTGGCGGGAGCTGGCGCGGCGTCTGGTGGCGCAGGCACTACTCACCCGCAGCTTGCTGATGAACGTGCCCGCCTCCTCCACCGACAGCTGGCCCTGCTGCCTCACGATGCGCTGAACAGTCTTGAGGACGTCCCTGGCCATGGTGACATCCCCACAGACGTAGATGTGGCCTCCCTGCTCCTTCAGCGCTTTGAACACGGTTTGGGCCAGCTGCTCCTGTAACACGTCCTGCACGTATTTCTGAGGGAGGAGGAGGAGGTGGGGGCTGAGGTTAACCTACAGCTTCTCAGCCCTATCCACCCACACGCTCCAGCCAGCTTTGTGGGCACCAGCTGCCTTCAGGGCAGCCCTGCAATGCAACTGCCTCGGCGGGGGAGCGTGCCTGCACCTCACAGCACCCACAATGGTAGAAAAGAGACGGGGAAAGCAGCAAAGCATCGTTTGCTCTTGCGTTTTCACATCTTCGCCTTATATCTCATTGCCAGGCCTGCTCAGGTGGCGGTGGGGATTTAGGCCAGGTGTTTGTGCTGGATCTGGGCCACCCCACAGGGTGACATCCTTCCTTGCCCACCCACTTAGGGAGGACGTGTCTTTCCCCTTCCCCATCTGCTGCCCAGGGAAGGGGCCGAGTCCCCATCCCTGGGGGTATTTAAAAGCCGGGCAGCCGAGGTGCTTAGGGCCAGGGTTTAGTGGTGGGCTGGCAGGGTTAGGGGAACGGTTGGGCTTGATGAGCTTAAAGGGCTTTTCCAACCTAAAAGATTCCATGATTCTGTGATCTGCTCCCACCTGCTGAGGGGGGCTGCAGCCCTCCAGGGCAAAGCGTGAGCAATGTGGGCCCACATTCAGGCTGGCGCAGGGATGGGGACATGCCCCGGGAATGGGGCTGCTCCAGGAAGCACACACTTAGGCAACCAGATCACCCCAGGGCATGAGCCACTGGGGCTGTGCCAAGGAACTGGCATCTCCATGCCGTCCCGGCTGGCCACAGCTGCCCAGGGCTGCACACTGGGACTGGAGCGGTGCCTGCCACGCACCTTTGGTTTGTCTGGTTCCCGGGAGTAGGCTGTGTACAGCTCTCTGAAGACACCTTGGGTTTTGGCAAAGAGCGTCTCCTCTTTGTAAATGTGGTCGATCCTGGACTGCCGGCAGCCAAACACCAGGACCATAGGACAAGGCTTCAGACCTGGGGGAGAGACAGGAGAAGCAGTTAGCCCCAGGGACCACCGATACCTGCTTTCTGCAAGCCACCTCCCTCCAGATCTGGCAACAGCCCCTAGCACCCACCGCGAGACTGCCAGGAGCTTTCCCTGGCCAAACTGGGAGGGAAGAAAAACCAGCAAGGAGGAGGAGATGCGCTGCCTGAGCCAGTGCTTGTGCCAGGTTTTGGGGAAGAGTTAAACTTTTTTTTTTTCCTAAATGGTCTAAATGACTAGTGGGTAATGCATATTTTACACAAATTTCCATTAATGTTCTTTAAAAAAAAACAGAACAACCCAAAACCAACTGCAGCACTATAGTTCTGCCATAAAAACTTGCAAAGTTTAACAGGAGTGTTTTCATGGGGTTTGCTTGGGGAGTTTGGGCTGACCTCCAAGCCTGCACTTGGGTCAGCTGCTGCTTCCAGAAGCCCTTTGCCTCCGCTGGGGCAGCCTGGGCAGGAGACTGGACCCCCCCCATCCCCACGCCACCAGCCCAGGTTTCTCCTGAGATGAGAAACAGGAGGAGCAAGCGTCGACCCACCTTTGTGCTGGATTTCAAAAAGCCGCTGCTGCCAGAAGCTCCGGAAAGGGGCGATGCCAGTGCCGGGGCCGATGAGGATGCAGGGCACCTGGGGATCCTGGGGCAGGTGGAACCCAGGCGCACTGCACACATCAAAGATGCCAGTTAAACCCAAGCAGGATTCTCCCTCCCTCGCCTCTGCCCACAGCAAGCTGAGACACCACCCACAGAGGGAGAGGCAGAAAATGAGGTGAAATCCCAGAAAGTGACATTTTAGCCCAGAAGAACGGCACCCGAGAAGGGACCCTGTTGCTCACAAATCCCACCCTGTTTTCTCCACACCCTTGGTGCTTTGCAAAGAAGAATTGAGGGCACCCTGCAAGGGGGCTCACCCCATCTTTTACACCCCTTGCCTTGTCTGGACCACTTACCCTCTTACAAAACAGGGCACTATTTCGTCGGTCTGTATCTGATTGAGCCAAGAGGAGCAGACTCCGTGGTGGATTGGTCCTTCTCCGTCTAGGAGGGGAGAAGAGGAGGTCTGTACTTGACACACCAGCCCACTACTCCAGTTGCTTTCCTTTCTGAAACCCTCCCTGCTACTTCCCACATGAACACCTCACTGAAACCTTCACTATCTCTGCATCTACCCCCCACGAACTTGGTAGAAGTTTGGCACTTGGATCCCTCGGTGGAGTTACTCAAGTTCACCCAGGACCCAGCCCTGCAGTAGCTGGATGTCCACAATACTTCCTAAGTCTCTCTCTTTGGTCCTTTTTGGCAGAAGCAGCATCATGCTGCGGTGCTTCCAGACACAAGCCCTCCACGGCAACCCCAAATGAATGGCCAGCGTCTTCCCCTGTGCCCTGCCTGCTGCAGGGGTGACGGGGCCATGTCCATCTATACCATGACCAGGGTTGCTTGGACACATCAGTGCTTGCACAGGTACAGAAATCTGGCCAGCAGCGGCAATGTGGACTTTGGTGTGGGCAAACAAACGATTGCACATGGAGCTCGGAGCCCACCATGGCTGGTCTGTTGCTGGTACCCGACCCAGATCTGGCATCTCAGCAATACAGTGCCCTTTGATGGATGACCGTTCTCCACAACATGGGACAGCAGTGTCAGGGGTTGGAGGGAATACAGTCACTGCAGCAGGTAGAAAGGCTTTAAAATAACACCTCTGGGCCAAAGACCTGGTGGTGTTGCCCACATGCTAATGCTTTTTTCTTCCTCTCCACACCAAGCCTGTCTCCACTGAGCCCTGCATGAGCACGGTACCTCTCGTGCGATAGGAGACCACTGCCACGGTGAGGTGGACTTCTCCTGGGTACATCTCTGGGGAGGAACTGATGGAGTAGTAGCGCGGTTGGAGGAGGGGGAGCTGAGTGAGCAGCAGCGTGGAGGGCATCTGCACCGAGGGGAACTCCTCCAGCACCTCCACAATGGTGGGGTTCTTGGACCACTTCCATTCCTCGTACTCCTGCAAAAAAAAAGAGAGGGATGGAGGAGAGCGCTGCAGCATCGACCTCTTCCAAGCCAGATGCCTCTACTGATATCCCATCGGGCCTATGGCAAAGCTGGGGTGGGTGGCTGTGAAGGCAAGCAGGAGGAGTTCTGCTGTCACAGGTGGAGACTCAGCCTAACCACGGCATGGGATGAAAATGCCCTGGGGTTGTGGTTGGCCCCAGGGCCTTGAGGAACTTGGGGCTTGGGGTCTGAGGCTTTACCTTGCTAAGGACCTGCAGACGTTTCTTCTCCTTGTCACTGGTGGCCAACAAAGCAAACTGCTGCAGCAGGAGGGGTGTGGGAGGGGTGGTGATGTCCAAATAGTACTTAAAAGCCTGGAAGATTGTGCATGGTGGGACACGGTTCTCATCTGTCCAGTTACTGATGACACCTGCCAGGAGGGAATTCAGCACAACCATGGGATCAGCTGAGCATGGGAACCAAGGTGGACAAATCCTTGCTTTCATTCCCCCTTACCAGCTCTGAGACAGTGAATGATGAAGAGCTGGAAAGAAGTCAGTGAGATCCCATGCTACAAGTGAGGTGCGGTACAAAGAGCACAAATATGAGTCTGATACTCCACCACCTGCAGCCTCTGTCACTCGGAGTTAATACTGTTTTTCACCTCCTATTACACTGTGCATGGCAGTAGGGTATCTGGCTTATCCCTAAAATAGTGTTGGGATGGTCCATCGAGATCCCTTAACTCTTATTTACAGTCCTAGACATCACTCTTTCCATGAGAATATAAATACCTGTAATTTTTCTGACAAGCAAGGAAACATCTTCTCCCCAGGGCCCTGCTCACCCTTCAAACCCTGGCTCTACACCCCAAATGCAGATGAGCAATGGCTCTGGGCAGAGGAAGGTTGAAGGAGGTGCTCCCAATCCAGGCAAATGCACCAGTGAGATGGGAAATGATTTCTCCTGGGGGACACCTACCTCCCCAAGGAGCTACAAGAACTGCTCCAAGGGAGGGGTGAGGAGGAGAGAGGCCATCTCCACGTAGAGGTGGCCCTGGTTACCTAGAGCTGTGTTCCTCTCCTCCAGGAGCTCCACCTTCACCAGCTGGTTGGCCGGAGGGGCATCTTCAAGCCTGTCAATCAGGGCATTGACCAAGTCTTCGTGGTTCCCTGGAAACACGCCCAAGTGGTCCCCAGGCAGGTACTGCAGTTCCTGGTGCCCGTTGGTGTGGAGGCGCAGGAAAATTGTCAAGCGGCTACAGGGAAAGGACAAAAAGCAGAACATGTTTTGGGGGAGCGTTTTGGGAAGCCGCTGAGCTCTGGCCTCAAGAGCGGCTAGGTGCGCTGGGCAGTGGTGGCTTGTCCAAGGCCTGGTGCCCTGCTGAGCACATCACCAAAGTCACAGCTGGAAAGGACACTGCAGTGTCCGCCTCCCCTCGCTGCTGACTCACCCTCAGGGACTTTTTAAAAGGAAAACCAGTTTAACCTCTCGCTTCAGCAATTTTATCCTATCTCTGCGTGCACCCTGCCCATCCACAACTGCGGCCACCCATCTTCTCGTCCTTACAGGCAGCAGGTTAATTTATGTAGCAGCAGAGGTTTCACTGTATAAGGCGGCAGGAAACACCCTTCACTGGGTTACGGTGGCTTCCAGCCCTGGTGATGGTTTGCACAAAGGTGGTACCCGTGGGACATTCAGGGGTCGAGGGGTATTTGCAGCACCGCGTGCATGGATGCTTGAGCATGCCACAAGTGCATCCAGCTCCTGCATCTCCTACCTGGACTTTGGGCTCTGCAGGTTCTGGCGTGTGATAAGCCGGGCTGCATAGACACGTTTTTTGTGGATGCTGTACAGTCCTGCGGAGGAGGAGAGTCAGGGAAGCAAGGCAGCAGCACATGGCCAAGGCAGACAGCCTCTGGCTTTTGCAGGGCTGTTGGCCACCGCTGTGGGTTCAGCCCTTTGGACCGGAGCAGGCTGATGCCAGTCGCAGTGAGCGGGCCGTGGGCTCGACCACCCTCCTGCCCCCATCTCCTGCAAGCCTGGGGGATCAGAAACCCCAGGGTGGGAACCAAACACGTGTCCCCTTTGTTAGTGCCTGAGGACGACTCTGAAAGCACCCGCACGAGGCATGGAGACGTGCCCTCACGTGCAGGCATGCACCTCTTGCTGCCAGTACCACCTGGCTGGTAGCAAAGAGCCTGAATTTGGGAAGAGCTAAGCCGATGCGGCAGATCCTCAGCTGCAGGAGCCGTGCTGAGGGGCCAGGTGTCGGTGGGCTGGACCTGCCATTGCACCGCAACGCTCAGCTGAGCGGCATTTGGACAAAGCGAGCTTGGAAAGCTCCCAGGTTTCCAGCTCTTTGCTTCAAAAAATGGGGTCAGGAGGAGGGAGATCAGATCATAACCCAACATCTCTGTTACAGATACAGACAGGGACTGGCCGGAGGGGCCCAAGACCATCACAAACTGCTCCTTGGGCATGCAATGGAGTGGAACGGCAAGACTGAAATGCTGGGAATTTAACACAGGTTAAATTAAGGTTTGGCCCCTTTGCCCCTGCTCGAGTCCAGTACATCTCCTCCACCCGCCCCATGCCCAGAGCCCTCCAGGATGACCCTGTCTCCATACCTTGTGTGAGCTCTGGGGCTTCAGCCACGTAGGTCAGGCGAAACTTGCTCCTCTTCCAGCTCCGGTCATTGCTGATGAGGGAGTTGTTTGCTTTCTCGATGTTGACGTCGTCCCCCACGCAGAACACGTCGCACGCTGCCTGCAGCATGCACCAGGCTCTCAGGCATCTCCTCGCTGCCCCTGGGCTTTCTGACCGAGCCCCATGACCCCCCTTGTCCCACCCACCTCAGCCAACACCCGGAGGACACACACATACACACCCCTGTGGTGTAGGGCTGTACTGGTGACCATGGGCATATCTCCTCCCCCAGGCATCTGGGATACTGCAGGAATTCAAAACAGTGCTCACCCTTTGGCAGCCAGCACAAACCAGATCGTCAGCTCCACCAAAACATGGAGACTCTCTTTGTGGTGGGCCAGGGGCTCCCAGTGTA